GGAGGAGAGAGAGAGAGAGAGAGAGAGAGAAAGAGAGAGAGAGATCTGATGGTTCGATCGCGAGAAATGGCGTGCGGAATATCGTTCGAAGCGACTGCCACGAGCACGGTACTTTTCCTGCTGGTGAGTAACGTTCTATACGTAAATTTGAACGAGCACGTGCCGCTTCTGAATCATTTAATACATTATAGATTTTGCAACACGCCACCGAACACTCCCGCTCACTTTTTTATATTTCGAGATTCCTCGATCGTGTGCATACTTCGTGTCTCGATTTTTCTTCTCGCGAAAAACGAAGTAAGCGTAAGCGGCCGTAACGAGGAATTTATTACACCTTTCGAGAAGTTCATTTTTCTTTCTTTTTCTTTTTTTTTTTTTTCTGCGCCGAATGTTAAATTTAAAGGGCGCCCGTTATTGGCCCGTAAATCATCCCAATTCGAGATGCTTTTGTTTTGAGTTGTTACGTTCAATTGGAAGGGAACGCGAGGAGAACCGTGAATTATTTTTACGACCGGCTTAACCCGCTCGTGTGGTCACTAGTGGCGTAAATATGAATATCAGTGGTTCGCTCGAGGTGGTACTTTCGAGATGCATTGTACGGCACGGTACCTAAACGCTATGTTTGGTAAGAGTAACATTCACGGTGAACCCGGTGGAATTCAAACTTGCGATCGTGTATGCTTTTAGACGCGTCCGATTTCGCGCGCTGTCGAAGAATCGTGAAAGATTTTAACCAGAAAAGATCGTTGACCCGTGGCGATTTGAGTTGCACGTTCGATAATATACTATTATTATAATAATTTTCGACAATTATTTATTTTTTCGCTTTACTTATACGAGAAGAAATTAATTTTTATTTATAAGGAAAAAATATTCGAATATTCGGTTGTATTCCGACGGATTGAAACGAACGATATTTAACGATAAGCGTGAGAAGAAATTTATTGCTTCTTCGAGTTTTAAGGATAGTTTCTCGTTTAAAAAAAAAAAAAGGTTGAAAAGAAACTTTTGTTGATAAATAATTGGAAATATCTTGTATAATTTTTACAAGGAAAACTCGGTGGCAGAATGTGTAAGAATACCAATCTGTTTCGTTTCATAAACCACATTTATGTTAAATAACTTTAAATTACATCACACAGATCGTAAATGTCACGAATTCGCCAACATCAACCTTTCTTACGTCCTGGATGCGATCTGTCATACATTTTCTGAAACGCCACCCTTTATACGAACCGTGACATTTCCTTCGCGGTGATTTCATCGATTCTCTTCACAGCGGATTTCAATTATTCGTTTCAATTATTTTTTTTTTTAAATAAAATCGTAATTAATATATACGATTATTCTTGCGTGAGTGAAACGAAGGACAAGATCGTTTTAAATTAAAATACCGTTTAGTTATTTCGTAACTTGGATGATTGTTAACATCCAATGAACATATTTTTTTTCTCTTTTTTTTTTTAATAAACGTGTCGATGATGTGCAAATTACGCTACATTGAAATTGTTAATTCAGGTATTCGCAATCCAATATACAATAGACTTTCACCGGTCTATTGTTAAATTGTGCGATCGTAAATCATCGTGCACTTCTTCGTCGAGGAATAATAATATTTGCCCTCGTATCGAATCGCATCGTATCGATGAATATTAACCCAAGTTAATATAAACATCGTTTATCCCCGTATCTCTTACATTATCGTTAATTTACGCGTTTACAGAGTTTATTTCCAGAAGTAAAAAAAAAAAAAAATGGCAAATGGACCTACCCCAACACGACGACGCTTAATCGTTCGTGTCCATCTATCGTTTCCAATCGAATCAAGGTATCCAACTCGATCACTCAAAAAGTCATTATCACGAACCCGTTAACATTAACCTTCACGCGGCTCGAGCGTGGACAACAGTCGCGCACAACTCTCGACAACTCTTCTCCTCACGCAAGCCGTGACATTTCTCCTCTCGATTTCATCAACATCACGTATCCAAACACGTACCTGGCACGACGTTATAATTTCACACGACGGGATTACGGCTTCACCACCCATCTCGCGAAATTCATTGTAACAATTATAGCGATTATTATTTTTTTTTCAAGTGGAAATATTCCGTAATTTTTAATCCTTCGATTCGAAAGATCGGTTTTAATACCCTTTGCACTGATGAGTCACTTCTCTCTTTTTCTTTCTCTTTCACTGTGAGCCTTTTTAGTCAGATCTCGCATGTTATTTTGCCTAGTTAACGAGTCAAAATTAGTGGAGCGAAATCAAAATTATTGGAAAACAATTACAAAGGAAGGATGTTCCACAATTGGAGTTTCTTTTAGCTTTGTAATCCTTCATTTTTGCTCCACGATGTTTTCATGTTTCACAAATATCTGTATATATTATATTATTACTAGTGACAATCACTCTCTTATGCATACAAAAATCCATTCAAATCTGAAAGGGCTTCTGGAATTAGAAAGAAAATTAGACGAGTTCTGGTGCAAATTCTTTGATTGTCGTTCGATATTTCGCGACGGTACGAGCGTTCAACGTGGCACACACGCACCACGACACGCGTACACACGACTAGAGTCAAGGATACAGGCGTTATCTCGCCGGTGATTGCTATACTTAAGCGGCGAGCGGAGTTGGTGTTGCGCGCTTCACGTGTGCAAAATGCGCACACGCCGGTGAACGTTGTTTTCGTTATGCAAGCTGGTGGAATGTTAAGCTGGCGTGGTTCCTTCGGAAGATTACGCCTCGACGATACACATCTTATGCAATAAAGCACGCGAGCGGCTATAGAAACTGTGAAACTCGAGGTTTCGAACGCCGATTCTCGTGTAGGAATAGAGGGAAAGGTTTGATATCCGTGATTTAAACGTGGACGAAGGTCGAGTTGTGGAGTGTCGAGTCGTGGTGAAACCAAGTATCGTGGTGATGAAGGAGAGTAGCGAGTAGTTCTCTTCGATCTTTGAGATTACAATTTAAAGTTTCGATGTATAGGATATTTTGAAGATGGAATTGTTAAAAATGGATTCGGATAGAGATTTCGTAAAATTTTTATATGTATTGAAGGGATATTCGTAAATTTTAAAGATCGAGAATATTATAGTCGTGGTGAAATCTTTTAAGGTGAAGCAGAATAAGATTGAATTTAGAGCGATAGGAAAATTTTGGAAAACTGGATTATCGAATCTTTTCGTTTGAGTTCAGATTGATTTTGAAGTAAAGGAATATAGCGATAGGAAAGTAGAATGATTAAAAATTGTGTTTGATAGAGAATCCTTCTTTTATAGGACACATTGTAAATTTTGACGAAGAGAGTATCGTAATCGTAGTGAAACCTCTTTTCGTTTGGACATTTTATCAGAGTAATGGAGACTCGACTGACGGAAGAACTGGAAGAATCGATGTTTCACAAGACACGTGTAAATCTTGAAAATCGTTAAAAGAATTATTGGTACCTGTTCGAAGAGAATAGACATTTGACATAGAAATTTATCGTGCACGCACGCGAATGAATAAAATACGCGCGGTCGATATTCTCTCCACGTATTCCTTGAAACTTCGGCTCGTGAATTTTGTACATTTCACTCACTTTCGCTACGAGAACTGGAAGAATATAAATTATTGCATTAAATTCACATCTCTTTTCTGGAAAAATCTTTTTTCTTCTTCTTCGCAAAATATAAAATTTCAGATTTACAAATTCTCTTTACCTTTCAATTTCCAATAATCCAAATTCACCCTTATAGAAGAATCATAAAGGAAAAAAAAAGAAAAGAAAAAAAATGATCTCAATCCCACGATCGAACGTTGGTCTCATTTTTATCGAAGAAACCTTCTGCAACAACCTTCATTTGTAGGAATCAGAGTATCGAGTTCGGCCGCTTCGTAATTATCAAAACTACCACGAGCATTATTAATCAGGTCGAACGCGGCTTGCTGTTCGAACAGCAAGACCGATTAATCGCGTTTAATCGATCGACCACGTCTCGTGGCAGCTAATTACACTAGCGTGACGATTCTCCTCGGATTCTCCTATCCTTCGATGTTTCTTTCTGTCCCCGATATACCGGTAATCCCTGCTTTCGATTGTTCTTATTTATTCTCCGGGAGCATTGCGCCAGGAATTCGAATGGACGTTACGAGGACGATGTCCTCGCGACGATTATTTTCAGTCGGTTGCTCGAAATGGCAGCGAGGGAACGGTACCGAGAATTTTAAACGAGAAGGAGAAAGTGGAATCGAGATACGATTAAATTTGGATTAGGATTAAATTTGTTCGAATAAAATCGGATGAATTCAAAAAAATTTTGATAAATTCTGAGATATTAGGGATTCTCGATTTCCAAAATCTCCTTTTAATTTCGTTCCACTCACAATTTCCGGATACTCCAAAGATCCTCCTCTCCTTCTCGGGTGAGGCGAAGAATATCGAAAATTGAGACACCTCGGCTCTCGTTCTCTCTCGACCGCGATAATCCAAGGTTTTTAATTAGCAGAGCAAACGGGGATAAATAATTGGACAACGAGCAGTTTAAAAGACGATGCATCTTAAATTAAAGGAGGAGGGAGGGGAGGAAGAAGGAGGAGGGGGAGAAATTGGGAACGAAGGCGAGGAACGACAAGTGGAAGTGGCGAGGAACCACGTATAAAACGGTGCTGGGGCTGTCCCGGTTAATTAAAACGCGAAGAGATCGGTCCTGAAAATTGATACCAACCGCTGATACATCCCGCTGTGTTAACGAGCGACCACCGTTGTTTCGTTGTTGGCAAAAAGTGGCGTACGCATCGATGCCCACGATAACACGTATTTTAAGTATGTTTGGAGGAGAGCCGCGCGCGAAACGGTAGCGGTCGTGAATAAAAATGCGCGTGTCGCGTTTCGTAATGCACACGTAGACGATGTTACGTTTTATACGTTTCGTGCGTGTTCTTTGCCGAACGTGCGCGATCGTTTCGATTCGGCAAATTTTTCCATTTTCAAATTTATAAACCGAGGCATTATTCGATAAATAGAGCGAGAAGGATAATAGGGAATAGGAAAAGAGTGGTTTTTAGAGTATTTTTGTGTTGATGAGATGGTATGAGAAATAATTATCGAGTAAAGAGTAAATGTATTTGAATG